TAATTATCATGTACATACATTACATAATTCGCTTTTTGCCCTTTCTGCAATCCATCTGAGTAGCCGTTTGGGCCCCCAATCTGCGCCCTCCTCCCTCCCTTCCGTCCGTTAGCGCCCTCAATTCTGACAGGTTATGGGCCCCACACTCACACCCTATCCTCTCTTCTCCCCTCTTTTTTTTTTTACCCTTTCCACTCTTTTCTTTTCACCCATCATGGCCGTTGGCATCCCAAACACCCTCACCACCGTTCTCAACAAAATTGCTGATCTGGAGGGTTCCAACTGGTCCAAATGGTCCAAAGGGATGAACCTTTTCTTCCTCGGAGTCGGCACTGAGTTCATTACCACAGGCAACACCCCGGCTGCCGACGACCTAGTCAAGGCATTGTTAGACAAGCATATGCTGCCGTACATCTATGGGAAGGTGTCGGAGGAGTTCCAGTACTTGGTGGAGGACACCACATCATCCGCGGCTGTTTGGAAGGAGCTAAAAGGCCAGTTTGAAAAAACTAGCATGTCAAATCAGATGACCGCTCGCCAGGAGCTGTACAACATCAGGCATGAGACAACCAAGGACATCAATGTCTACCTCTACGAGGTCAAGACCGCTGTCGCTCGCCTCGAAGCACTTGGTGTCACCATTTCCGACATGGAACACAAAGATGACATCCTCATGAACCTCAACTCCTCTTTCCACCCTGCGCGCGGTGTTATCCTTACGACGACGACTGAGCCTACCTTGAAGGCCGTCAAGGACCTCCTCGTCACCACTGCCGCCTCTGATCCATCTGTTGCAGTCAAGACAGAGCCCTCCGCTTTTGGTATAGTTGCCCGCCAGACCAAACCCTCTGGATCCGCATCCCAGGGCTCTATCAGCGCTCACGGCTTCCCGGTCGATGAGCATGGAAATCACTGGTGCAACCCATCCCACAGCAACTGTCATTGTTGCGACTGTCCCAGGCACGTCGCGCTAAAGTGCATGTATTCCATGCCCCAGTTCGTCAAGGACTGGATCCTGAAGCACGCGAACTCCTCTCCCTCTGCTGCCTTCGCCGCCGCTCTCGCCACTGGTCTCACCCCGGCAATGTTCACGGATCATTATGAGTGTCATGTCGGACGCTCTGCAAGTGGTAGCACCAAAGCGGCGCATCTCAAGACCTCTGGCGCTACGCGCTTCATACAAGAAAATTGGGATGAAGATGATGATGAAGACAGTGCCGAGTCAGATCCCGAGGTTGAAGAGCTCAATCGATACATGGGCAGCCATTTGTTCGCCGACTCACCACCTGCGACTCATGCAAATGCGGCCACCATGTTTCGAAACACGGGTTTTGCACTTCACACCTGATGCGCTTCACCCCTCCTTCGATTAGGTGGGAGTTTTTGTTGTTCTCAACCGGTGGGAGTGTTGGAATTGGTGGTTTAAGAATGACAGTATCCTTAATTATCATGTACATACATTACATAATTCGCTTTTTGCCCTTTCTGCGACCCATCTGAGTAGCCATTTCGGCCCCCAATCTGCGCCCTCCTCCCTCCCTTCCGTCTGTTAGCGCCCTCGATTCTGACACAGACAAGCCGGATGGATTGTACACGGACATTGAGCAGATGGAGGTCGTGCGGATGGAGTGGACAGTACAGACAAACTGGAAACAGGGATCGTCCGACGGGCCGAATGCTCATGGGAAAGGTCCGGACCTGAGGATATGGACAGACCGGATGGCCAGGCGGATTGCGCACACATGTTGAGCAGACAACTGGACGGATTGTGCAAGGACATTGAGGGGACGGAAGTCAATCGGATGGGACAGGTGGATGACAGAAGGACAATGTGAATGAACTGAAGCCAGGGATTGTCTGATTGACTAGAGGCTCGTGGGAAGGGTCCAGATCCAAGGTTCGGCTGAGGATGTGGACGAACACGGACGACCAGACAGATTGTGCAGAGCTGTTGAGCAGATGGAAGTTAGGAGGGAACAGTGGAAGCGGGGTGTCCCCTGACACTATGCTTGGAAACAGCATCCACCTCACTTTGGAGAACCCCAGCAACTCATTCTAGTCTGTTCTCATAGCTGCAAAGCTTTACATCACTGGGCACTGTGCTTCCTGTTTGTTCGGGTCAACCCTCATTCAATCAGATCTAGCCTGAATACTTGCACAGCAAGGGTTCCATTTGCATCGACACTCTCGTTGCATTCCACTAGCTTTCCTGTCTGTTCCAGCTCCATTCCGGTCCACTCAGTTCAAGGCTTAAGTACTTGGACTTCGTTCCAAGGACTTCCACAAACAATACAACACTCTCTCCTTGTTCCCGAGGTATATTCCATTCCCTGCAATCTTTTATAAGGCCCTGTACCAGGGTCTGATACTCGTCTGTGCACTTCTCAAGCACTTACGTTCTGTTCCAATGCACTTCTGTGTTGAGGTTTGGTTTTGGTTGGTGTTGTAAGGCTTGAGGAGCGCTTACAATCGGGAAAACATTGTACGCTTGCCCTGGTGGGGATCGAGTGTTATTATGTGGTGGACTGCTGTCTATACTCTTCAAGAGACTACCAAGAGCCGGATATTTCGTGCTCCCGTACGATAGACTCCTTAGAACTCCGGATATCCGTGAGATCTGAGCAGACTGTAGGCCGTAATGACCTGTCGTGATAAAGACGTAAGTGTGGCATGAAAAGAATAGATGTAGTAGCAGAGATTCACCTAGTGCCTAGTGTGTGTACCAGGCAAGGCAATATAAGAGCTTGTGCCTCTATCAGGGCCTCAAAAGAGGGCTGGTGAGGCGCTTTGAGCGCGTTGGTGTAGTGGTTTGTGATAAGAGATAAGATGTGTTACTACGTGACCGTTACAGGTGACTTGTACGTAAAGAGTATGTAATAAGCGAATATGATTCCTTGCAGAGCCCCCCACTCTTGACGTGCAAGAGCAAGAACCTGTGTCGAGGGAGGGAATGGTGGGGAAAAAAGTGACAAACTGGAAGAAAATTTTGCCCTGTGTTCCTCCATTGAGTATCTTCAATCCAACTCCATGGGCTGCTTCGCATCCACTCCGTCTTCATCTCCATTGCCCCTCTGAATCCACTCCGTGCCGTGGTCGCTTCGCTCCCATCCCCATACCAGACCATAACCCATCCTACTCCGCTTCGTGGTCGCTTTGCTCCCATATCATATGCCATCCCAAGCCTACCCCAGGGTACCCTACCCTAGCCCCCCACGAAAGTAGGCCCTTGCAGGGTTCGAGCGAGAGGGGCTGGTTTCGGAACCCATCCAAAAGCATGTAGCCCCCCATTCTCGATTCAAGAGATTAGGGTTTGGGCCGGGTGGGAGAGATGTCGCTGAAGTGTTGGAAAATGATGACCCAGGTGGTGTATCCATGACGGTAGCAGAGCTGTTATGTGCCGAATCCGACCGCGGAGTTAGTTTGAGTCTCGCGCAAAAGCATAGCTCGCGGGGGGGACTCCGAACCCCCGAGATACGGAGACCCGAGAGCTCCAGCGTGTCCACTGGCTTGCCGCAATCCAAAATCCCTATGGTCGAGCCCCACAGGTCGTGAGCGTGGTGTCGACTTAACGGGCTGCTGGTGACAAGCAGGACGTCTCTTCCGCCCGCAAGGGCATGGGCAGAGGCACGTCAAGCAAACCGGGTTGAACCCCAAAGGTCGTGAGCGTGGTGTCGAGCTAATACCCAGCTGGTGACGAGCGAGACGTCTCTCCCACCCACAAAGTCACGAGCAGGTGGCACGTCAAGTGAATTGTCAGGACATAGGAAATCCGTAACCACGTACGCGCCCGGGATGTGTCGAGTTCCGGGGGAAAATAAAAAGAACTGGTGAGAATATGAAGAAATCAAGGCAAATTTGGGATGGACTCGCCTCGCGGGGGTAATCGCGCACAATTAAACCCCCGGTGAGGCTTTGCGCCTGAGCATATCGCCACGATTGGAACAGCCAGTTTGGCAGAGAGCGACAAGCTTTCCTCCGAGGCACATGAAGAGGGGAGCGACTTCGTGGCGTGTGCGCGCGCGAAGCTGCGGGTGATGTGGCTCCGAGGTTTCGCGTATGCGCGTCGTGGCAGCAGCGGCAAAGGGGGCACCGACTACCCTTGGCGTTGTGCTAGACGTTGATCAACTGAGCGTTCATAAAGATCGCATGGCTGTTCCAGGGGTCCAGAGGTGCCGGCGCGTTCAACTTGAAGGTGCAAGTCCAAAGGGGGAGAGTAAAAAAAAAGATTCGGTGAAAATATGAAAAATTCAAGGAAGAATTGGGATGGACTCGCCTCGCGGGGGTAATCGCGCACGATTGAACCCCCAGTGAGGCTTCGCGCTGGTGCGTTGTGTTAAGACCTGCGGACAAGAAACAACCCTTCTGCCCTCATAGCATCGGCCGCTGAGTGGATGGTCGCCACCGACGGCACAAATCCTCGTAGACGCCGGGTCGAGCGCGGGTAAGTCAGTGTTTTGACGCTGTGCTCGATGGGGGGTCGACTTTGGCGATCTCAGTACGCGAGGGCCCCAGCGCAATTGAAGTCGCAGTGGTCGCAGGCATGCGGCGCAACGGGTGGTGAAGTTCTCAAAAAAGTCCGTTGGTGTGGATTGTCCGTGCTGGCGAGACGCCTGCGAGTCGCGTTGCGTTGTCTCGGGTTGCGTCACCCGGGTGAGAGCGGCAGCTTGTGTCCCAGTGGCCGCTTTGTAGGAGCCTGGATGGGCCAGTCCACGCGAAGTTCGAGTCCCGAAAAAGAGAGAGAAAGGAGGAAGAAAGTCGGCAAGATCATCATGAGGCAGGCATCAGATTTGCGATGCCATCAAAATGATCGGTGTCTTGGCGTCTTCCCTCTGCCTCGTCACTCGCTCCACCAAACAACGAAAGCCAGCGCGAGCGTCGCAAACACAATCCAAGCTCTCGGAGTATCCGATCCAAGAAGCCTGAGAAGACAAAAGGTGAGTCTGAAAAATGAAGAAATGATACAGGATCAAGAGGAACTGATTCAAGAAATTGTTGGAAAATGGCTGAACCCGGAATTGAACCGGGACCTCTAAGTGATGATTGCGCCCCTAGTGCTCTTTCCAACTGAGCTATTCTGCCGATAGTGTGCAAGGAACAAATCCGTACTGCAACACTCCCCCGGTTACTAAGCACTATTGGCTTATGTAACTCACAAAGGGGGGCACCATTTTCCTAGGCACTCTCAGGCTGCAAAGAGACTGTTTCACTCTTTGACTTATAACCTGTGAGTTGCTGCTACCATGTTGGAAAATGGCTGAACCCGGAATCGAACCAGGGACCTCTAAGTGATGATTGCGCCCCTAGTGCTCTTTCCAACTGAGCTATTCTGCCGATAGTGTGCAAGGAACAAATCCGTACTGCAACAGAAATTTGTAGCTGTGGTATAGGTCTCGAGACGCTCTGCGTCGAGCCGTCATCGAGGTCGAGGAGCCATGACGTGGAGTGGACCGGGTGGAAATCCAGGTGTGTTGCAAGAAAATCCACGGAGTTGGGAGAGACTGAACTAGGTTCAGTGCGTTGTCGCGTGCCCGTGCCTGTGAAAATACTTCCTAGCACGGGTGCCTATCCCTTCCCGCTCCCATAACCGGTACGGAGCGGCGTCGCCGACCTCGAGGAGCTCGATGTGCGTAATTGTTCCTGTCCGTAAGAGCGTGCTAACGAGCACGGGATCCAGATAAGCCGTGAGGGAGGGGAGTGCCGAGAGATGGCCGAGAGAGGCACAAGATGTGACGGAGGAGGAGTACCACGCAAGCTCGCAGATTCTCGTGTCCTCGAGCTTGAGCAAGGTGCGTACCTCTTCATTCACGTTGGGGCCTTGCTGACCTGTATCTGATGCAGACGCAAGACTATCCCGCCCCCCAAGCTTGGCCACACTCGCAACAACGGCGAGAGCAGGTGCGGGTGCGGTCATGGGGAGTGAGCCAGCCACGCGCCGCTGCGCGAGCTGAGGCATCACGGACGAGCACTTGTCTCCTTGAGCTGGGATCTTCGCGCCCGGGGACCCCGATGCCATCGCCTCGAAGCGCCTCACGAGCTTCGAGATGCGAGGGCCCTTATTCGTGAGATGGGTCCCACTACGCCCATGTCCGGATTTCCGCTGCTTGGATTCCGGACCACGGTCCTTGGACAAGTTCCTCGTGGTGAGTAATCCACTTAATCGCAATTGAGCCGTGTACTCAGCTCTTTCCCGCAGATGTTCGTCCACTGCAACCTTGTCCATGGCGATGACGGGAGCCCCGCACGCAAGATCCGGGTCGCCACAGCAGCTTGCATCGTCAAGTGTGTACAAGGTGCGTGTTTTAGCCTCCGAAATGAAGTCCTGCTGACCTACCATCCGCCCCCCAGGCTTGACCGCGCGCTCGCCGTAGGTGAGGGCAGGAGCGGGGGGTGGAAGTAGTACCGTCTGCTCTGCAGATCCAATAAAATCCTTTCTCTTTGTTCTTCCGTCTGCCCCTCAAACTCGGCCTCAAGGTTGATACCGATCTTTTGAAGCTCAAGCTCTGACGCAGGTAGTTGCTTTCTGGTTGCAGTTCCAGTACTCACAGACGGCGGTGTGCAATCTCTGGCAGATGATTCCTGTTCTCGTGGGTTCTCGTCCATGTCCCCACCTTCGTCCTCAGCGGCAGTCAACCCGAGCAACAGCTTGCATAGTGAATCGCAAGGGGGGTCCTTCACCGCAGCGGGTATGGCTGCCGAAGGTGTATGCTCTGGGCAGAGGTGTATCTTGCAATCCGAGCGACTGACGGCACCATGCGCTGTGGAAAGTGGTGAAGCGGTGAAACGGTGCACTAGGGTGCGGCCGTGAAATCTAATGATTTGACTAGTGAGAAAAGCGAACTAGTCACTCTACTCAAACCAACCAAAACCAAAACAAATCACTAATCCTAATCCTAATACTCGTGTGTGTGTGTTCGGGGAAGTAGGGTACGTATCACCCGTCAAAAGGGTGTGCAAGGTTGGAATAAGGCTTTGTTTCAACAGCAACTATGCGGTTTAAGCACGGTTATGCTGGGGTAGCAGGGACTTCTCGCCAACAGGATATCAAGACTCAAGTTAAACCTTAGACTGTTCAAGTCTTCAGTTTCTTTGTGAGCGACAGAACCTAACACTACTGGCAGCTAGCCAAGAAGCAGAAGGTAGGGCAGACTATCAACAGACAGACGCTACTTCAATATCAACCAACACTGCACGAACGGCGGCGGTATCAACGAAACGGGGCTGTTACACAGAAGGTGGACGCTGGGCTAAGGCGCGGACAGTTACACTGAAGGCGGCGGTTTCACTTCTACTAGCACAAACTAGTCTTTAGTCCTGGAGGCCTAAAGCGCTGCTACAGGAGACAAGAGAGTACGATTACACAACAAGTCTTTAGTCCTGGAGGCCTAAAGCGCTGCTACAGGAGACGGGTTGGTGCAGGTTGAGCGGGGCTCTTATATCAATGCAATTGGTAGTCTTTTCGACGTCCCGTATCTCTTAATCTTTTCTGTGCGTCTGCAAATATATCTGATTTCTATCACAAATCTAGAGTCTACTATATTGCCCGTACATCTGGGGGATAGTTTACTGGCTAATACAGAGTACACAGCTGGCTTTTATACATTTCAGAGAGAAGTAAAGGAGATAGACGGAATGAATAGGAACAATAAAGGGTGGGAGCCCGAGTAGTGAATGGCCAATGGCGTAGAAGACACAACCATGGGTATTATGACCTGCTACCGGGGCTAATCCACATGTATTTCTCTAGCATGCCATAAGACGTGCTTAGTTGTCTTGGTTTCCATCTTTCTGACTGAGCAAGTCTGTCATTGCTGACTAGTCAAGTCAGTCTTAGTCAAGTTCTATTCAATTTCTCTATCAGTCCACACTTCACAAGCTCAGTGGAACTCATAGTAAATATCAAGCAGATTGACAAGATAGCGCGGCGCTATACTGGCAGACCAGTATAGGGACTAGTAAAGTATAGCGCGGCGCTATCCTATAGTGTCGATCCTCATCAATCATATCAGTAAATCCTTGATGCGAGGCCCGCATCTTTCTAATGGCCAGATCTGCCCGAGTAACCACAGTGATGATTAACTCGGTAACAAGTCTTCATCCTAATCTAATCAGTTGGCCTTATACACAAAATGGCGCGCCGCTATATCCCTGCCGGCCCTAATGTGGTTGTACCAATCCTGACTTCGTATATCTTGTTTTAATAGTCATCAGACTATTCAGAGGCCGTTGAGATGGCAAGTCAATAATTCTGAGTAGTTCCCTGATGTTTCACCTCCAGCACATAAGATAATGGCTTACCGCCACCATCTATAGCTCAGTGTAGAATATCATAGTCAGGACGTAACAGCCTTTTGGGCTGCCTTGTCAAGTCTACTCAATCCTTCGTAGTTGGTTTGTTACACTGACTTTCGGCCATCAATAGTGTAGCCTACCACCCCAGGGAGGGTGTACGCTCATAATCTAATGCCTCGCTTCTGCCCACTAATAGGTTCAAAATGAAATAAAAACTGGTGTTTTCATGCATGTTTTGGTACACGCCCTATCAGCGGTAGGCGGATCTTTCGCCGCCGCCTTGGTGTCCACCGCGCCCACCTGTAACCGAGCGATGCTTGGCGAGGCACGCGTCCCTCATCCCGGGTATCGGCGAAGGGCTCGTTGTTCCGGCGCTAGCGGCGACTACGGGCGGGGACCTCTCTAGAGATGAGACCACCATCGCGCCTGACTTGATGCCCGCGACTGTACACGGGGAAACATCGTGATGGTGAGGGTGCGCAGACGGTGATGCGGAAGGTGCATGCGTTGCAGACGCGGGCGATTGCACTGCAGCCATCATCGATGCATCTGAGGACGGCAATGCACTCGCTCCCAGCGGCATAGACGCCGCTGCTGTGGAGAGCGAGGGGGCGGCGATGGAGGCTGAGGAGACTGTAGTTGGCCATGACCACGCCTTGACTAATCCTCGTTCTCGTGGATTTTCATCCTTGCTCTCCACGGTCGCGGGTGCGCCAGAGTTGCGCGTCGACGTGAGCAACGGATCACATAGTGAATCGCAAGGGGGATCCTTCACCGCGGGTATAGGTGCGTGTCCCGATGTCCGAAGATCCGTTGTTGAGCTGACTGCCTGCGCTATAGGATGGGGCAGAGTCTGGTTTGGCTCCACGGCGCTCAGTGCAGGCGCTGCATGCGGCAGCGGCGACCTCTCCGTAAGGGAGACCGCGACAGCCGCTGCGTGCGTAACTGGGGAAAGTTCACGATGTGTCCCTGCCTCGGCTGCTCGACGCGCATGCTCCTTGTCATTCGCCTGTGCGTCGCTGCATTGCACGCTTGGCGCACTGGGTCGGGAGTGTGCTGACCCAAACCGTACAGCTCAAAAGCATCCTGGGCAATTTGCAGCCGTTCGACCAGTCCATCCCACACGACGTGCAACAAGGAGAGACCAGCCGTACCTCGAAGCGTGTCGATCGCTTCGCGGCACGGGTCGATGACAAACAGAGAGCTCCTACCGGCGAGGGTCGAAGCGCGGGTAAGCAACCACTCCATGTCTGCTATTGCCTTCTCTGTTCTGACGAGAAGATCAGCCTCCAGGCCGAATCGTCCGACGTATGGGGAACCAGAGTAGTCGCTACGATCCACGATGTCCACGCCATCCAAGATCTTCTTGCCAGCGATGAATTCGACTCGCTGGGACACGGAATCGGGACCTGGCCGTGTATTCAAGTGCAAGATTAGCCATGGACACCTCAAATGATGGAATGGACTTGCTTTGTGGGGGCGATCCTGCACGATCTTGCCCCCGTTGAGGCTTCGCATTGGTGCATAGTCGTTTGTCGTTTGTATCCTGGGCGCCAAACGGAGGCGTGTCGGATGCGCCGACCATGCATGAAGTGAGAACACGGGGTGCATTCGCCATTACTGTGTCCATCGTGACTGGACTAACAGTTTTGGCAGCACCAGAAGCATGAGTGACGGTGGACGCTTTTGCGAGCCCCCAGCCGCCACGCTGGAAGCAAGTGCGGCTGTGCGCGAACGGCATTGGACGTGTTCGCGAGCTGTGGTGTTGCGGCACGCTGCAGCCACCACAG